TCATTGTCTTCTGGGCTAACTTTAGAGTTATCTCTCCACCAATGTTTTCCTAAACGGTAAACGGTCTTTACACGGTCGCCCTTCGTTTAGCGTTTAGGCTGTTTATACGGTGTTTAAACGAAGTTAAACGGTCTAAACGGTTTTGTACTTTTAAAAAAAATACATATAATTATATATGTGCATGTAAAAAATCAAGTATTCTAGCATTTATACATATTTATCCGAGTAAAAATCAATTATTTTGGTATGTATATATATTTATGCATGCGAAAAGAACCAAATATAGGTATTTATGCATATAACATATCAAGTGTACACATTTATAAATATAATAAACTTAAGTATACAAATTTATCCATACAAAACTAAATTAGATTTACCTCATGTTTGCCTAAACGGCCGTTTAAACAACTATTTAGCTCGTTTAATGTTGTTTATCTCTATTCCCTTTAGGTCATTTAGGCCGTTTTTCCGTTTTTTTTTTTTACCGTTTAATTTCCGTTTACCTCCTAAACAAAATAGTTTACCATCGTTTACTGGCCGTTTAATCCGTTTAGGCGAACACTGCTCTCCACAGACCTGAATGTAACCTGAAAGTTGAAGCTAGCTCACTTCCAAATAATCTCTTGTAAAAATTAGTGATGTGTGCTTGAAGGGCTTCTGGTTCTGAGATCATCACTCCACCTCCATCAAGAGATTTGATTAGATATTTCATTTTCCTACCATTAGCAATCCCATGGAAATGGGTTGTGTTAGCATCACATTCCAGCAACCATCTTTCACCACTGATCACTTGCCACATGGCTTCCTCCTTGCCATAGATGTCAGCTAGTTCATCTTCCCAAGCATATCGCTATCTCCATTCAGCATCAGACAGGCCCACCTCTTTCTCTCTCTGATCCAAGCTTTTAATGAGGAGCAACAAATCCTGCTTTCTCTTCTTCATATCACTCCCCCAATTACTATTCCATCCTCTCAAACAGCTCCTAATTTTGCCTAATACTTTCTTCCGATAATCTATGCTCCTGTTTCCCTGTTGCTCTGGCCATTTAGCTATAACCCAATCAATAAATCCCTCCTACTTAAGCTAAGCTGCCTCAAATCTAAAAAAAATTGACCTAACACCTCTATCAGAGCTTAATTCTACCACTAAAGGGTTATGGTTAGAGCCCATTCTAGTAATGGAATGAGTTGTAACTAGTGGAAAATAATCCTCCCATGTGGAGTTCATGAAGATTCTATTTAGAACCACCATAACTGGATTGATTTGCTTATTAGTCCATGTGTATTGTCCCCCACCTCTATGAATTTCTATAAGCCCTGTATTGGCCACAAAATTGTTGAAGGCATCCATTAGACTAAGGTTTACCTTGCCTGTAGATTTCTCAATTCTTCTTACTAGGTTAAAATCACTCCCAATCATGCCTCTAATAAGCACCTCTAATTCATCTAAAAAGTCTTGTTTCTGATTATCTTTCACTAGACCGTACACATTGATTAACCTCCACACAAAATTATCATTTTTCTGAGTCAGAGTCGTTGATTGAAAATGATCACTACTTTCTATGTGAGTCACGTCTACTAAATCTTCATCTACCCCCATAAGAAGGCCACCAGAGTGACCTCTAGAGTGAAGCCACTCCTAGAGCATTTAATTCTCAGCTAGTGAAATTCTATTTAATGGTCTCACTTAAACACACAAAGCTAATATGATGATCTTGCAACAATTTCTTGAGTTGAGCTTTTCGGCCTTTACTACCCAAACCTCTGATATTCTAGAATAGGATATTCATTTGGGTTTATTAGTAGGATTACCCAATTGGCTCAACCTTATCACCTCTATAATATCAGATTCACAATCCTGATCATCCACCTCTTCAAGTTCATGAACAATTCTTAGATGTTCTTCATTATGAGCTTCTAAACTTTCATCCACCTCTACCACCTCTTCTACAAATTGAGATTGCTCCTTCTTCTTCTTAGCTTAAGCTAATTTAGCCTGAGCAAGCTCTTTTGCCTTAATAAGGTCTATGAAGGCATCAACCTCTTCATCAGTCTCTCCCAACATAATCCCACACTTAGAAGCTAGTTTACCAAGGTCATAATTATTAAGATTTTGCAGACTAGAAAAAGGGTTGGAATTCATACCTTGACTGTTAGTAACTCCACCTGTCTGTTACTCTTCTGCTTCTTGGAACTGACCACCTTAGTGAATTGATCATCTTCCTGTGTGTCTTTATCAGGCATAAAGCCACCTCCAAGATCAGATCCATCCTGGTTGTTCACCTCCATCATCATTGATTCTTGTGGACCAGGATCAATAGTGTTATCTCTTGGTTGCTCAATCTCAGGGGCTATCTTCACCTTATCAGAAAGAGAGAGAGACATTGGGGATCACCTTATCCTGAGCTACCACCTCTATAGCTGCATGTTGCTTGCTAGCTCTTTTCTCTCCTTGTTTGCTTGATTTAGGTTTAAAATTAGGAGGGTTACCATCTGGTTTGGGAACATCAAAAGGACTATAGTTATCAGATTCCTCATCCTCATCTTCCTCCCATGATTCCTCATCATCCTTCTTCTTTCTAGGCTTGTCCACATGAAATGTCTTCCTCTCATTCTCAAAATTCCAACTAATAAAGAAGCCTCTTCCATTAAAATAGACTTTAGAAGATCCTTGAATTGATGAGGGGTCTTTGCATGAGACTTTCACTCTGATTGGACCAAGCCGTGGTAGAGATTTGGTATCCACCTCTAGAAAATAACCAACTAGATAAGAAACTTCTTCCACTGCTTTCTCCTACCTAGCCTAGTGAGGAAAACCATAGACTAACAACCATACTTGGGAAATGACATCTAAGCATCCAACCATCAGATCAGATTTGTCCACAGTGTGAACTCTTTGAATCTAGTGAGAAAGTCTAGCTCTTTGGCAGAGGGTACAACAAACATGTACTCATTTGAACCAACCTTCTTCACTTGCTAGTCCCAGGATGAACTGACCAAGTATTGCAGCTCTGTGGTGACCTTGGCCATTGATCCCTTCCCTTCTAGAATAGTCATCATAGCTGTAATTGGGCTATTAGTCATTTCTTCTTCATTGATGGGGACATGGAGACTATAGAAAATCTAGCCAGGCATCCCATTCTTTATAAGGGCAGTTTAGAGCCATGTGTCCCTTGTCTTTACAGTTATAGCACAGTGGAGGATTGGGGCATTGGGACCTATGGCAACCCTGATCCCCACACCTAAAGCATTTCTCAGCTGGATCTGGTTCTCTCCACTCTCTGCCTGCACCTCTATAGTCTTGCTCTCGTATTAGTTTGTGCCTCAAATCCTCTTCATTGTTCCAGTAGCCTTCATCTTCCTCAGCTCTTCTCTTGAAACCTCTACCATCAACTCTGCCCCATTGTATCCATGGCCACCACCCATTCTACCATCATTCCTGCGATAGTTATTGTTCCTATTCCAATCATCATCTCTACGAACCACCTCTCTACCCCTCTAGTCATCTCGAGCACCACACCCCCTCTGGTATCCAGATCCACGACCATCACCACGCCCATCACCACCTCTACGGTCCATCCCAACAACCTCAGAAAAAGAACGGGAGTCGATGAGTTTTACCTTAGCAGGAGCAATCTTCCAAGCGAAAGCACAGAATCTCCAAACTTCTTCAATTGAAGCAGAATACCCTTCGACGGCTACCTCGAGAACCCTAGTTTTGGGGATCCAAAGCCATCGATTGTGGGGTTTTGGGGGTGGGGAATAAGAGTGGCTGTACAGGTCCTCAATAGAAATAGCATCTTTATGGGCCTTCGCACCTTTCGACCTAATTAGCCCAGTACCCAAATCCGCGTCATCCCCAACCTCCCGCCAAGGATCAGAGCTCAGAATCCTGGCAATGGTGCGTTCAAGAGCATCTGTAGCCTCTTCTAGATCTTTCACCTCTACCGCAAAGGAATCGGGCGCCTTGCAAAGCAAACGCTTAATCCCATCTTCCTTGCTCTGCTTCTCACAGATCTGTTCCTATTCCATCCTAGGTGGGCGGCAGGGACCAAGAGCACTACCTTGACCACCTCTACTAGAAGCATCTCCGGTCCCCCAACTTTGAAACGCTCGGGAATCATCATCTCCATGAAATGCAAGAATAAAACGTATACGATCCATCTCAGACAAATCTTAGAAACGAACAAACTCCGAACACCTCTGCCCGTGACACCAAAACCTCAGGGGAACGACGCAGGGAGGAGATAGGAGAAAATTCCTCCGTTGGCGTGACCGCCGTCACCGTCCGAAGAGAATCTCATACTTTGCAGCAGGAGGGGGCCACCAGAGGGCCGCCTCCCCTCGCCGAGGGAAACACGCTCCCTGGATGCCTTGTCGCCTAACCATCTGGTCGCCTAACCATCTCTGGAGCCACCTTTATCTACATTCATTCATTTAGATCTTGATTAAGAGCTATCTTTTCTTTTTCTTCTTTAAAATATAAGAAAAAATGTTTAGAGCTAGATTAAAAGTTTACGGTTGGAGCAGCCAAACCCATGTCTATCTACTAGAATCCCTTTGCTGTCAGATGTGCCCTCCAGCAGCCTGGCGTGGCGCCCAATGGGCCACGCCGCGTTGCTAGCCGCCAGTCCCGCCACCGTGTTGTCTCGTATCGCCGATTTTCTTTCCTTCACGGCTCCGTCTTGAGAAATCCAAATGAATTATCACAAGGGATGCAGCCTGGCTGGATAAGGCTCGGAATATTTGAGGAACACCATGATTGGCGACGTGGTGCTCATCCCATTGCTCGACACGACCCACACCAAGACGAATCTAGCTCGCGACGCTGATTGGGTGTCGGGCCCCGGCTGCGGTGGGGAAGCATTGAGAGGCACCTATAAAGGAAGCGGGTAGGTTGCACAGAAGCGGGTAGGAGGAGCTCCTGAGCAGCTAGCCAACGGGCCACTGAGTTTAGCTTACTACATATACACTGCTCCTAAGATTGCTACTAGAGCATGGTGGGAAGTTCGTGGTCGTCGTCTTCATCCTGCACATCGTCGTTCGGGTCCCTCGACGACGATGTCGTCTGCGTCATCAAACCGGACTCTGTGGGTGCCGCAGCCGTCGCCGAGGGAAGCGTCAAGTTCCTGTGCAGCTACGGCGGTAGGATCCTGCCCCGCCACACCGATGGCACGCTGCGCTACGTCGGCGGCGACAATCGAGTCCTCTCCGTCGACCGTCCCCTCCGGTTTTACGGTGCATATTTCTGCCCACCAATCCACACAAGTCCATCCACTGAACAATCCTTTAATTTCTGACTATCTGGGTTACGTGGTCGTGTCTGTCGGCAGAGTTGCAGCGGAAGCTGAGGGAATTGTGCGGCTGGGAAGCGCACCTGCGGTGCCAGCTACCGATGGAGGACCTGGACGCGCTCATCTCCGTGACGTGCGACGACGACCTCGCCAACCTGCTCGAGGAGTACGACGAGGCCAGCAAGGACCGCCTCCAGTCGCTCAAGATCCGGGCGTTCCTGTTCCCAAGGACGCCGGCGCCTGCGTCGTCCATACCGCGTCGCAGCCCGCCGTCCTCCCCGCCGTCGGATTCCAGACCGTCACCGAGTGCTCACCTCCATAGGCAAAACACTTCCCCGGCGGCCGCAGCCCTCGTCTCGCTGACGTGCGCGCCGCGGTGGTGGGCTGCGCCCCAGGCCTCTCGCCAGGCGCAAGCGCACCAGTCGCAGAACTACGACCGGCACGGCCTTGGCGAGGAGCGGCCGCACCCGCACCGGTACCTTGTCCAAAATGGCAGGCACTGGCAATAATAACGTGACATGAGCAGCTCCTCTCGACCATGGGAAGAACAGATCGGAGCGTATACAGTGCGCCCGCGTCATGCGTGTGCACCGTGCACGCAACGTCTGACATGTACTACCATCCTGATCCTGTACGTCCATGTGTTATCGTCTAGTACCGTACTTCTAATAGATCGCTTTGTTTTTTTGCAACATGAAAATGTTATGGAGGATAGTATGGGGAACCTACACAGAAGGCAATGGCGATAAGGTTCCTAGAGTGGAGCACAGCGTCGGATGTAATCTACTCGGCTCTTCCGTACGTCCGGATGACGGAAGCCGTTGCGTGCTTGTCTTTTTCGACGATTCAACTTGTGCTGTGCATCATTCCGATCTGCCGTGAGGGTCGTGTGGGTGGGGCTCGCAAAGTGGTGGAGCAGGGCAAACTTTGGTCTACGTGCGTCTTGCTTTGGTGCAGGCAAATCCAGATTCCGTTTCCCTGGTTGATGCGCGAGGACTTTCTTTTTTCTTTTGTTGCAGAACACGGAGTGTGGTTCCGGCCTTAGTTCGCCACGTCGCACCTGTGGCATCGCTGGAGATGTGGCCGCAAATTGATAAGGCTTTGGCCTGGTTTTGAGGGTGGAACTATTCTCCAGCTGATGCATGTTAATACAAAAAAAGCTTATCATTCCGGTTAGAATAGTTCCAGGGCCACCAATCCAGAAAAAATGAACGAGCCCTAAAAGGAAAAAAGAAGCTGTGGTGACAAATTCGATCCCCTTGCGTTATGATTTTCTATGCTTCAACCACTTAAGCAGTGATAAGAGTATCTCCTCTCAAAACAAACTCTCAATCTAAAATTTTTGGTAAGATTGAAAAATACACATCTCCGTCACTTCTGACCATGACTCCTGATCTTTTGGCACTCGAGAAATTAGACCCCTCCGTGCGGGAAAATACGCGCACTTCCACGACTGCGAATCCTCCTCGCACTAGGTTTCCTAGGTCTTTCTTCTCCGTCGTGCATGCCTCTTCATGAACCCACCAGTGGACGGTTCCTCTGCAGGAGCCTGCTACTCGACCTCCTCGACCGTGGCTACCACCTCGTCACCTCCACCATCAGCGGCTTTCTCTGTGGCCTTTCCTGGTTGCGCCTGATGCCAGAGTGTCGCCGCTGCATGCCGCGGGTCATGCTATGCCCGCTCTGCCGCCAGCGCTCACGGCCATGCCGCTATTGGCCATTCCTGGGACGAGCTACGGCTTGTCCATGGCCTATAGATTGTAGAGCCACCCACCGGACCATCCATGGTCTCCGTAGAACCCCATTCGTGTGAGGGCATGGACGACGGAGATAAATATCCCACATAGATCCCCAGTTTCCTATGAGGGCCCACTGAGGTCCACTAAGGTATGTGCACAACACACCCAAACTTACGTAAATGGAATACTTGGAGGATTTCCATGTACTAAATACAATGGAGAGGTATCATGATATCTAGTTGGTCATAGTTGGATCAAATCAGCAACATGCAGAACTCCATGACACCAACACGATATAGGCAATTTGCAATTCATCAATAGTTGTCCTACAATAAGCTTGATTCTCTTAGTCAACTATTGAGGCCAAACCGTTCTAAGTATGGACGTATGAACATAATGTTAAATCTGAATTCCCAATGTCATGAAATAATTATCGAAAGCATGGGATACGAATCCAGCAAATCAAGAATGCTTAATGTATGTATAGTACAATTCAGATCAGAGTGGAGGAATTTTTCACAAATTTGCTTGGCATATCCAAAAAGTTTAGTAAGGGGAAGAAATTAATTTTTATTATCCTCATGTATTTCCACATGAAAAAGCCAATCTTATAGATGTCTATATAACTTAACAGCATATGGGTCGAATCAGGATACAGCAAGGCATCCTCTACCGTAAGTTGTGTACCCATAGGGAGAGTGATGATAATGGCTCGACCTGAACCAACTATCAATGCATGCTGACCAACAATGGTCATAAAATTTTCTTCTCTGAAATATTTCAACTTTCTAAGTATATGGTTTGTGGTACAACTAATCGCACAAAACATAATTCTTTCTCTTTGGATTGACATCCAGAGAAATCTTGTCGTGGAGGCTAAATCCTTCGTCCTCCCTTGAACAACAACGCTGACGAACAGATCTCAGGCGACCCCTCCGGCGAACAGCAACTTCTTCTGGCTTCTCAACTTGCAATGGAGAGTGTGCGTCAGAACATGTTAGAATGTGTCAGAGTGAAAGCGAGAGACAATAAATGATGGTTGTATTCGAATGATGAACAGTGAATGTACATATATAGAATGCCATCGAAATGGCTGTTTACATGTCAGAGAGAGGGAGCGTAAGGAGGCTTTGGCCTCTAAAGGAACCGTCATTAGTGATAACAAATGAAGGGAATATTCCCTAATTGATCGTTGAAATAATTAATTTTCAACATCAACTATTAGTTCTTTAGATGTGTGTGCTAGTTAGGGTACGTAGTTTTTAAATGTCTCGAATATAACATACTGACAGCTAAAAAACAGATCGTACAACCCACAAACGTAGTCATCTGCAAACTGTTTAATGCTTTGCATGTGGCTAAGATCAATGATAAATACCATTTTATATACCATTGTGTTGCTATTTGATCGATAATTGATCAAGTTTAAATAAGTAAACATGATTACAATAATTTTTAAAAAATCATCAATAAAGGATGTGTCAAAAGTTTAGAAACACATTTATAAATGATGTGCACAAAAAAGCTAACAAAAATTGAAAATTCAGTGTCACTGTAAACTATAACAGCCGATCCACACCGCCCAAATGCTTACTGAATATGATGGTCCTTTGTTCGGCAGTCACTTTTTCCACGTTTCTTCTTGAGTATGATCGCTTTTGTATCTAAGGTCTGTCAAGATTATCTAGAGAAATCGACCTAAAATCAGTATATCAATATGTTTTACAACAAACAATTGACCTGAATCCACAAAAAGAAGCAAAGAATCTACAAATAGAAGCAAAATTCGAATCAGTAGAGTTGACAGCTTTGAACTGCTCTCCTCACAACCAATCTTGGCTCACCATCATTACTTCTGTATGTCAAAAGAATGAACACAAACACAAATGAGAAGTAGCTAATGTCCTTGTTTCGTTTACAGAGCTAATGCCTTTTCTTGTAAGATCCAAATCAACTAATTTAACCTAAATAAATACCCCTACGGCCCCCGTGTCACTCTCTGAGGGCGACTCGGGCGGCGCCGTCGCCCCCGCCTTCGGGCCCCTCCCTCTGTCCTTCACATCTCGGCCGCTGCCGGAGCTCCGGTGGAGGGCAAGGACGGCGGCGGCCGGGTGTCTCCCTCCCTCCCTCTCTCTCGGTGAAGACCTGCACCGTCCTTGTGCTTCTCATGGTGGTGGCTGGCGGCCCGAATCCGGATTCTCGGTGGGTGGATCTGGTTCCCCGCCGGCTAGATCCGGCTCTGGCGGCGTGGGGGTGGTGCCAGTGCGCTTCAGGCTAGTCCGTAGGGTTTCGTCGTGATTCTTCATGGGGAACCTCGGCCGGCGGCGTCTCTGGCACCGGGGCTGGAGGACCCCTCCCTTCCCTGCCCAGATCTGCTCTCCCCGGCCCGGATCTACCGTCTCGTCTCTCCTGGGGGGCTCCTCGACGTGCTTTCTAGGGGGACTTGACCGGCGGCACACCCGGTCCGAGGGCGGGCGGAGCCGGCACCCTTCACCTGGATCTGCGGAGGAGGTGCTCTCCGTCCTTCACTAGTGTCTGGAGGGGCGGCACGGTTCGCGGCACCCTTCGGGTCTCGTGGGGCCGGGAACGAATGTAGTGGTGGGCGTCGGCCTTGGCCTCCTTAGTCGGGGCTGACGTTCCTCTGCTGGATCCGTCGTGCTGATGGTAGAAGTTCGTAACGGGGGTTGCTGGAGGCTCTGCGCGGTGGGTTTTGACGCTGGGACTGCTTGCCAGTGGTTGGGATGGTGGTGGGCTGCATGACTGGGGCTTCTTCTTATCCCGGCCCTCTTCTCCCCACCACTTGCCTGTCCCTTGCCCAGGCTGCTTCCTAGGGTCAGGCTACCTCTGTGGGACTCCAGTGGCGATGGATGTGGAAGAAGCATGAGGTCGGGCGAAAGCTTGGATAGCGACGTTTGTGGACGTCGTGGCATCGTTGGTGGCGTCCTTTACTACCTCTCTTCCTACGACGTTGGATTTCGCAGGTGAAAATCTTACCTCGTCGAGCTAACTTGTCGACGCTCTTGGCGTCGTTTCCTTCTTGAACGCTCTACTAGGCGATCTAGATTCCGCTGTGGACCTCTTGTCCGTGCTAACTCTACGATAATATTTAGAACAACACAAATTAAACAACCAAACTGGTGTGCTTTAGTTATTTTGTAAAATCAACAATCATATATTATAATATTAGAATTAAAAAAAACATGATTCTGATGACAACCTGATATACCAAATAAAGATTACTTGCATCACAATAATGATATCAGAATATAGTGGATACATACACAACCTTCCAGTATACATGACATGCCAAAATTAAACTGAAATTGCCTATAAAACTATAGCTTGCAAAAAAAAAGATACAAAATAAAAACCGTCAGGCAACCTCTTAAAATGAAAATTTTAAAATATTAAACCTAGATAATGCCAAAAGGAAGATGGAACTTTGACATGGCAAATCAGTACCAACGATGAATATTTAGCACTGTTAGCAAGCATAGCTCGAAACAAGCCTTTGCATTTTAAAATTAATTGCAAAAGAAAAATGCAGGCGAGCATAAGTCCAAATATATAGGCCCTGTTCGCTGTGCAGAAAAGCCATGACTGAAAGTACCATTTGCTGATTTGTTATGAGAGAAAAAACACTATTCATTCGCTGAAATAGTACGGCTCAGAAGAAAAACGAACAAAGCCATAGTTTTCAATCTGAGAACGATGAAGCACATCTCAAAAGTAGTGTTGCTGTTAACTCAGAGCCCGGGTGGCCTCTCTGCAAGTATTATCAAGAATTAAAGGCTTTATTCGGCTGCTCTAATAAGCCGGTTTATCAGTCATGGTATAATATTTTTCTCTCTCAACAAATTAGTCGTACAAATCAGCATAAGCGGCTTATATACCAGCCTGCAATGAAAGAGATTCCTTTTTTTAATAATGGTGCATTGCATAAAAGCTGACCTGATCTCTTCACTTGCCGGATCAAGCTCCAGTGCCTCTATGAATGCATTAGCTGCACCTTTCTAGTTCTCTGAATAAAAAAGAAGATACTGGTGAGATTCAATTTGAGTTTGCAAGGGGCTGCTCAGTGAAAGAATGGGCTGGTAAGTAACTGAAAATTTCCAAGCTACATGTATATGCAGCAGCGCAAGGCACTGAATCTTTTTTTTGGAAAACCTGGCAGGAGCCCTGCCTCTCAATTAAGTGCAAGGCACTGAATCACAATGCAGATCCATAGATAAGTAATTCCATGTCAGCCTACTCATCCATTATTCCAACAGTTGTGTAGTCTTAGTGCTACACCCAAAACTAGTTTTTTTTTTGCGACAGCCAGCATTGATGAAACATTCTGTAATTGCAAGTTTGTTCAGTGGAACAAAATCAAAGGCCCACCATTCCAAAAGAAAACAACCACAATCTATTGACTGAACAAGCATCCGACAGTTTTATACTCAGTAGTAGGGAATTCCATCTAAAACCTTGCATGCATATGCCAACCGACCAAGAGACACAGTCACAGACATAGATGGGGCAGCATACTGACGTACCTGTTGGTGCGGCCAGCACATCCTCGTCCAATGAACATCCCATCGCCCTCCCCAACTTCAACCGCTGCCACCACCGCATCTCCGCCCTGCACTCCAGCCTATGAGGAAGAGTGAGAGAGGCGCCGCTGGTGGTGTGGGGGCAGCGGCGAAGCCACAGTGCATGTGTCGGGGTCATGCGACCCCGATAACTTTGTACGAATCAGTGGAACCCAGCGTATTCCGGCCAGCTACGACCCCATCAGATTGAGTTCATGAATCTGTGCGACCCCGGCAGCAGTTTAGTCTAGATTCGCCGCTGTGTGGTGGCGTGGCGCCGCCGACTTAGGGGTGCTGCCATCATGGTTGGGAGGGCGAGGGCGCCATTGTCGCAGCCGAGAGAGGCGAAGACGCGCTCCATGCTGGATCGAGCCGCTCAATGCCACTGCCGCCGCCCCACACAACCCTAGCCCTGTGACCTGCGGCCGGCGGCCTGGCAGCATGGGGAGAGGAGTCGCGCCACGTGGGAGAGAGTAACACGCATGGGGAGAGGATCACGC